AAGGTGCCATTATGTCTGTTAGCGGATCCAATTTGACTTTGTAGAAATGATGCAAGGCGTGATGTCAAATGTTGCGAAAATTGATAATTTAAATCAAATTCGGCTTAATTTTTTTTAAGTGGCAGCAATTACGTTCAGATCTCTTGCAATTGATTTGTTATATGCGTTGCGGGATGTCGTTATCAGCGGCCTGTAAGAAAAATTAATTAAGCTGACCCTCCAACTAACATCGTTGAAAAATAGAAAGAAGTTGGTTAGTGTGAGCTAGAATTGGGCAATCTAAGATCCTAGACTGGGATCAATCGGCTGCCCTGAATAGGCCAGTAATTTCATCATATCATGTTCATATTTTCGGACATTGTGTTGGGAAAAGCTACATCTCATTTCCTAAATTGGACGAGGCCAACAAAGGTTGAAACCACACCAGATAGCAAATACCCAGCAATAGCTATTAGTCATGTAACACTACACAAATACATTCAATTGAGTTTGCTGTTGTTGCCCCAAAACATACAAAGAGAGAGAGAATAATATGATGGCCTTCAGGATCGACGAAATTGCACGGCAAAAGGAGAGAGAGTACTCTATGCAGAGCGAGGTTGAAATTGAAAGATCTATCCAGACTTTACCATGGAACGAGGCATCATTGAGTGTCCTAGAAGAACATAACCTGCGATGGTCTCCCAGGACGCGGCGAGCTCGGTCTTGTTCTGTCTCTGTCTATGAGGATTAACAACCTTGGCACATTTCGTTTTATTCTTGAAGATGTCAAGAGTCTGCATAGAACGAATTTTTCCGGTAATTACCCAATTGCATGGTGGTCGTGACTTGTCCAACAATGTTTACCCATAGCTACTCTCACAGAGTCATGGAAAAGAAGCGACCGCAACAGAGATTGAACGGTGTCACATGGAAATGCTGTGAAAATCACCAGAGCCGCACTTTGGTGTTAAGAGCTCACTTTCTGAATATCAATCAGGACCACAACCTCGAAACAGTATTGGATTAGACGAAGCCAAGCGATCTAACGACAACACCGGCGCGCGCGCGCGCGAATAAGCAGTTGACAAGAAAATGGTCTCCATTTGGTAGTAAGTTGATCATCACTGTGCACTTGGGAGAGTGACATTGTGTCTCATTGCTGAATGACGTAGTGCGGCAAGAATATGCCGAACTGGTGGGGTTTTCTTTTTAGGACGAAGAGATGCCTAGTGGTTGAATAACAACGAGACAGTGCGAATAAAGAATTAAGAAGGATCGTCCTTTGTAGATGGAAAAGACACGGAAGGTGGCCCATGAAAATGGGGGTGAATTCCTTAAAAAACCCCAAACTTGAGGTCAAGTATCAAATCTGTCCCGAATTTTTTTTTTGTCTCAGGAAAAGCCCAAAACTTTAGGTCCAGTCCCAAATCTGCCCCGAATTTTTTTTTTTGTCTCAGAAAAAACCTTAAACTTTAAATTCAGTTCCAAATTTGCCCCGAATTTTGTTTTATGTAAAAAAAAATCAGCAAATTTCAATTTATATTCAAAAATATACTCCCGTGATCCAGTTCCAACTTGACGTGGCACTTCCACATCGATAACAAATCCACATAAGTGAAGTAACGGGGCAATAGGTACGTATCGACGTCGTATTTTCACTTTAATAACAAATTAAACCAAATTAAAATTGTTGAAATTCTCCAAAATAAACCATTTTAGGATATGAAAGTTAGGATGATAACAAATCCACCCAAAAAACTTTTTTAATTTAAAAAAAAACCTAATTTTTAGGTTCAGTCCAAATTTGCTTCGAACTTTTTTTTGTCTTAAAAATAGCCCCATTACTTTGTTGATGTGGATTTGTTATCAACGTGGAAGTGCCACGTCAAGTTGGGACTAGATCATGGGAGTATATTTTTGAAAATAAATTGAATTTTGGTGATTTTTTTTAAACAAAACAAAATTCTGGGCAGATTTGAAACTAGACTTAAAGTCTTGGGTTTTTTCCGAGATAAAAAAAAAAGTTCAGGACAGATTTAGGACTTGACCTAAAGTTGGGGTTTTTTTTAGAAAATTAGGCCCATGAAAATGACTACTTCATGCACAAAAAGACTGAAGAAATCAGATACAATTAGGGTACGTTAGGTGGTCCGGATTTGTGTCTGGATAGTAGGGGTGAGCATGGTCCGGGTGGGTGGTTTTCACCTTAGAACCGGGAACCGCCCACTATGGACCAGTTTCGAAAAAGTGGAAACCGGGAACCGCTTGTTGGTTCCATAGATCCACCCGAGAACCGAACCGTCGGTTCGATTTGGTTTCTGGGTGGGTCTATGGAATCGGTCCCACTAGCCAAGGACGGAGACGGAAAAACGAAGACGAAGACGGAGATGGAGAGTCGGAGACGGTAAGGTGTGTATCGATCGAGAAGAGTGAGAGAGTAGAGTGAGCGTGAGGTGAAAGCGAAAAAAGGTGTTTCTCGGCTCAATGTGAGGCTGTGAGTGTCGAGCGAGTCAGGTTTAGTTTAGGGATTTAGGATTTTTCTTTTTTTTAAAAAAAATTAAAATTTTTAAAAAATATATTATATTATATATTATATTTATTATTATATTACCGGTCTGGTTAGGAGGGGCGGGCGGGCGGGCGGTTTCACATCTAGAACCGGGAATCAAACAGGTACCCACTGGTTCCCAAAAATTGGAACCGGGAACCGGATCGATTCCAGACGGTCCTGGGCGGCGGTCTGCGCAGTTCCCGATATTTTTGCACACTTCTACAAATTATCCTATCTGGTGCTTGGCAACGTCCTTCGGACCGGATAAACTTGGATATACTCGAATAAAATGCCAGATAAGAAATCCGGGGGAGGGGGTGGGATAAGCCCGGATTAGATAAATTTTTTTTTTCAAATAACTTAACAAGCACCATTTTTCAATGAAGGATGCCCATGAATTACTAAACGAAATTGTCACAAGAACTCAAAAGATTCAAAAGGTGTATTTCGTGCAAAGCTTACCGGAATTAAAACAGACAAAAATGAGATGCATAGCAAACCCAATGGATTGAAAGGTGCACCAGTAGATCATTCAGTTCGACTTTTTCCCAAGCAGGTCTCATATTTACAAACAGAAATCCAAGGAAAGAAATATCTTCACATTTGAAGAGGGACGCATCGGAAGACGAGGTATTGCTACAGAAGTTCCTCAAAAAGTTATCAGCAGCAAGAAAATCGAGAGAAAATAGGTCAAAATAAATCCACGCAAGCTTTCATTTTCTTTGAGGGACAATTAGGATGAGAATCAGCACTCAATTAACAGAAATGAAAACTCACCATCAGAGGAAAGATCATCTCCACATGATTACAAAAGACGAAGCTTGCATCACTTCTATTTGCCTGTCAACATATTAACCCAAAAAAGATTTGCCGAGAAAAAGATCTCCCCAAGCAACTAGCAATAAGCAAGCCATGTTAGCATGAAGCTATTAACAGCCCAGCTCTAGCCAAAAATAAGGACGAGAGAGAAGGCACTGGGAACACATTCCCAAAAGGTTATGTTGATCGACGAGATAATTCCCAAGTCCGACATTTCAAAGAACTCGAATGGCGGGCTCCTCACCAAGTCCATTGATTCAAGATGACTAGGTGAAGCAGGAAGCTAGTAATTTTGCGCAAGGAAAAGGAATTTTTGACGAGGAAGATATCTTCAGTTCCAAGAGATTTCATTCGAGGAAGCTTCAAGATGGATCTAGGGTGCATCACTGTTGTTCGAGGAAGCACATCCTGATATCCATGTTATATCTGGACATTTACCAAACATATGATGGGATAATTCATAATCTGAAGGACAATTCGGAGAATTTCTAATCCCCCCTTATCCTATCCTATCCTATCCCAATCCATGTCCGGACAACCAAACGCAGCCTTAGAGTAGAAGGCGTGCTATATGATCTTCATATGAGTGGCATATAACCTCACATAAGTACTATTTTATCTCGGTTATATGCTTAATCCGACAAAGACGGTGGCTTCATATCAATTAGATTAATAGGACTTAATAAACTAATTGTGGAGATAAACTCATATCGTGTTTAATTAATCTTGTTTGGTTTGCTTAAGCTCCACATTACAACTTGGTGATCAATACCAGATAATGGGTAGCAGAAGAGGCTCCATATTTTCATGCTCTGTCATTTCCTCAAATCTTTTGAATCATCAACTCAGCTAATTGTGGTGCTCTAGGATTGTGTAGAATCATCTACCGACGACTAATTTTTTCCGTAGCCATAAGATTTTGCCCTAATAAGCAAACATTGCCCTTGGACCTGTTTGTTTTTCACATGATTAGTGACCATCTGAGAACTCTTATCTAAGATATGTAGTTTCCGGTTTCTGACAAACCCAGTCAACTGCATAATGGGTAAAGTATTCTTTTGTCCTGTAAACTGGGCATACCACGCTCATACAGAACCGATCTGGAGATGGCCAAGGGCAACTCTTTAGAGCATGAAACTTGGTCAATAATCTCGCGCCCACTAGGCATTTTTCAAGTGAGCCCTTAAATATGATGGACATGATACATCATCAAAACTCGACATATGACAAGGCGAAATGTGAACCGAATTCCCATCTTCCGACCATTGCATTTATGCAGCATCGGTATCGATGATATTAAATCATGTAATTGCATGAATTGAGAAATCATAAACAGCACAGGCCTTCCTAACCGCCTCACCTAAGTAGCTTGTTGATGAAATAGCCCACAGAAATTCCCAGAAATTCATAAGAATGAATGACCAGTCAATTCAAAAAAAAGAGAGTACCTCTCTGTATTCCCTCCTTCAAAGGGAACAAGCAAAGCACCTTCAATGGTCAAAGGAGCCAATCAAAGAATTTTGACCCTTTCATTGTCAAAGTCACCATCTCTCCCGTTCAAAACTAGCCCAAAACCTAAGCGCAACCAATGAGCAGGAAGTTCAAGTTAAACCCATAATTTAATCATCTGATTACAATAAATAAACAAACCAATCAAGCATTTCATCATTGCACACGACAAACCTCTCATCCTCCTCATTCCTCACCCCATTCTTTCAACCTCTCACTTTCTGCATTTCCCTTCACATAGAAAAACACCAGATCACTCCAAATTCCTCAAGAAACACAAAAGGGTTGCTGTTTCTTAAACTTCTTTAGCCCTGAGTATCGTCCCGCCATGGACAGGCTCGTGAAGCCGGACGTGACCGAGGTCGAATTGACGTTCAAGAAGGGCCAGAAATGCACCAAGACGTTCCGGGTAACCAACCTCATGCACACCATGTCTGTGGCAATCTCCCTGTCCACCACCAACACTTCCCTCTTCAGCTTCAACCAGCCTTACTCCATAATCCCACCCCTGTCTTCCGCGTCCTACACAATTGTCTCGGCCCCGTCTGACCACCCGGCCCTCTCGTTGCCCCCTGATTTCATCACCGTCAGATCTTCCATGCTCCCCACCGGGAAAGCCCACCAGGACGACCTCCGCCGCCTGTTCTCGCGGCCTGGCCCCCATGTCTTCAAGGACGCCACCATGCCCATTGCCTTCGTTGGCCTCCAGGTGATTGAATTCCTCATCAAACAGAACACCCAGATCAGAGAGACCGAATCATTGCTGAAGAAGGCGATTCCTGGGTGTGACCAGTCCCAGCTCACCAAGCTTTTGAAGTATGCAATCGCGTGCGGGGACGCGGGAATCGTGGCGAGCCTGATCGACGGCGGCGCTGAAGTTAACGATGTAAATCCCGACGGAACATCCTTGATAAGCCTGGCAATTGAAGCTGGAAATCTCGAGATACTGAAAATCCTGATAGCTTCAGGCTCTTCAGTCAGCAAAAAGAGCAAACACGCTGATCACATCCTCCACAAGGCGGCGGAGATGAACCGGGTCGACCTCATGGAAGTCCTGTTCAAGGCTTTCAAGGACATCATCGACCCGAACGAGCCCGACCCCGACGGGAGGAGCCCGTTCCACGTCGCGGCGGCCAACGGCTTCGTCGATGCGATCAGGTTCTGCGTTGCGGCCGGCGCCGACGCCGACGCAACGGACTCCGCTGGTTCGACGCCTCTCCACCTCGCCGCCGCCAGGGGCCACACTGAGGCGGTCGAGTACCTGGTCAACCACTCGACGTACGCGAGGCACGCGGTGGACGGGGACGGGAAGACGGCATTCGCGCTCGCGGCGGAGAACGGGCACTCGCGGCTGCTCGACTCGCTGCGGCTGCGGGACGTCCTGCTCCGGGCGGCGAGGGTCGACGACGTCCACGGGATGAAGAGCTGCCTCGCGGAAGGAGCCGACGTGGACGCGAGGGACCAGAACGGGTGGACGCCGCTGCACAGGGCGGCGTTCAAGGGGCGGGTCGAGAGCGTGAAGGTGTTGCTGAGCCACGGGGCGAGCGTGAACGCGGTGGACGACGCTGGGTACACTCCGTTGCAGTGCGCGGTGGAGGCAGGGCACGCGCATCTCGCTCTACTGCTGATCGCGCACGGAGCGAAAGCGAGCCCGAAGGGCCCGAAAGGCACGGCTCCTCTCAGCTCCGACGTGGCAAAGCATCGCCTCGACCGTCCGTGTTTCTTGTATCCTCTGTGCCGCGAGAAGGGACGAGCTTGAACGGAGGCTGCCACCACCTGTTCGACGAAATGGCGCAACGAAGAATGGAAGACAAAAACGAAGAGGCCACCACCTGTTTGACAAAATGTGTGTGTATACTGGAATCTGTATATAGTTTTGTGAATAGTGTGATTCACCATTTGATTGGATGGTGTTGGATGGTCGAATAGAGGGAGAGAGAAGATGTATTGTAGTGTTCATTTCCCTCTCCCAGCCAGTTCTGACCTCCAAATTTGGTTGCATCGGCGTTGCTTGTCTCGTGTATACTGGAAACTTGAGTCTAGGAAAGAAAAACGCCATTGAATGTGCAGCTTCTTTAGGGATTAGACGTTGCACGTCTTGGCTCTTGATTCCCGATTTGTTACCGCTTTTCTCGTCCGCAAGTTGATCACAGCAGCAAGAAAATCGTTCTTCACCTGTCTGATTGGTTTGCTTACATTGTCGACGGTTCTGTCGCATTCTGTAAGACTACTTATGTGTGTTTCTTTACCAAAAGAAACTGTTCCTATTCCCTGAACTCCGTTCATAGATGCTCCTGAGCAGCGTTCTTGCGTTGCCATCTTGAGTGCACGCCTTTGCCATTTGCTTACCGTATGGGAGGAGCAAAGCGCTGACATGCTAACACGATTGAATTTGCAAATTCTTTAGGGGCTAGACAATAGATGTCTTGGCTCTTGATTCCCAATTTCTTACTGCTTTTCTCGTCCGCAAGTAGCAGGAAAATCTTTTTTTTCGCCTGTCTAATTGGTCTGTTTACATCGTCCATCCTGTTGCATTTAGTAAGACTACTTATGTGTGTTTCTTTACCAAAGAACCTGTTCCCATTTCCTGAACTCCGTTCATATATGTTTCTTAGCTGCGTTCTTGTGTTGCTGTCTTGAGTGCATGCCTTCGCCATTTGCTTACCCATATGGGATGAGCAAAATGCCTACATGCTAGCACGATTGAATTTGCAAATTCTTGAGGGGTTGACATCTTGGCACTTGATTCCCGATTTCTTACTGCTTTTCTCGTCCGCAAGCAGATCAGAGAAGCAAGAAAATCTTTTCTTCGCCCGTCTGATTGGTTTGCTTACATTGTCGACAAGTGCTGTTGCATTTAGTAAGACTATTTATGAGTGTTTCTTTACCAAAGAACTGGTTCCCATTCCCCGAACTCCGTTCATATATGTTTCTGAGCAGCATTCTTGCGTGGCCGTCTTGAGTGCACAACTTTGCCATTTTGCTGCAAAATGCCAACATGCTAACACATTGAATTTGCAAATTTTTTGAGGGTTAGATGTTGGACGTCTTGGCTCTTGCTTCCCGATTTCTTACTGCTTTTCTTGTCCGTAAGTAGCAAGAAAGTCTTTTTTTTCGCCTGTCTGATTGGTTTGCTTACGTTGTCAACGGTCCTGTTGCATTTAGTAAGACTACTTTTGTGTTTCTTTACCATAGAACCTGTTCCTATTCCCCGAACTCCGTTCATATATGTTTCTGAGCAGCGTTCTCGCGTTGCCGTCTTGAGTGCACGCCTTGGCCATTTGCTTACCCGTATGAGACGAGCAAAGCGCGGATATGTCGAGCCAGATTAGCGCTACACATGCGGCAATTCTAGCTGATTATTGGGCATTTCTGTTGGGATCCATATGCTGCTTCGGCTGGCCATGGCTTGAGAAGGATGGTTGCATTTCTCAAGTGTTATTAGTGTGCCGAGAATCGACAGATACACGCAAGTCACGGGCCAATACATCGACTTGATATTTGTCAGTGTACGGCAATGCTCACACAAATAGGCAGTGAGCAAGGTAAGTACTACTTTCGGACACACCATGGACGAGAATGCGCTAGGATGCTCGTCTCTGGCCCGAGTTAGGATCTGAACGCGGGCTTCTCATGAACCGCGGGCGTCGGTGTGACTCAACAACAACGAGGGTGTTGCACAGCAAGTTCTTGTCGGACGACAACTTCGAGTGGCATAAAGTGTTGATGACCCGAGGATCCGATTGGCATGAGCAATCAACCCGGCTATATCAGACCCCGTTAAGAATCTGGAAAAGAAAATTTTATTTTTGGAAATTTCCAAGCGTTCGAAGCTAAGTTGACATTGAGGGTCCTCTCCTTGTTTGATGAAGTTTCATAAGCTATGCCGCACTGATTTCTCTTTATAATGTTGTAATTGACCACTGTCCTTTAAGAAAAGGTAAGTTAATGCGGTTTTGTGATTGGTATCCATCGCTTTGCAACCCCCCTCGCCCCCAATTGCCACCACCAGGGTAAGTGGCACATTTGACAAAATGTCATGTTTTCATGAGCTCTCTGTGGCTGTGTCGCTCAACATCACAGCATCTCTCGCATGATTTCGAGTCAAATTCTATTTCCATATCGCGAGCGATCCTGATGGTCGGATCCACGAGATGCGGCCTCGACCGTCCACGGTGACTAAGGAGGTGTAATGTCAACCGTTGAATATGATCACGCCGAGCTCGTCGCTTGTGAGGTTCGCGGCGCGCAAGAAAAGCCTTCTGTTCTAGTCCTAAGGAAGAGGCCAGTCCGCCTGCCCTTTGTTCCTAATGATATTTAGAGCTGAAGTCTTTGATTTGAATTCTACAATTTGGCTCCAAACAGAATGATGGGTGTAGATCGAAGGATAGAGAAGATTGGATCCTTGGCTTTGCTCATTTGATTGGGATCAGTTCTCCTGCACAAGCAAAAAGCTGGGCTCTTTGGTACGGGTCGAGAATGGTGATACAAAGGGGTATCGAAAATCTGAAAATGCAATTGTTTCATGGAAAATGAATGTACGAGCAAAATGCTCGGCTCTTTGGTATGGGTTGAGAAAGGCGATACAGACGTGTATATCGATAATCTCTTAGGGTTTAATTTTTTTCGCGGAAAATGAATGATTTGAAAAATATTTTCCTAAAAACGAGATCTTATATCGCTTTACAAAAATGAATGAACGAAATTTTTATTCACTCTCCACGAATATATTTAGACATAAGCTGTTGTCGCTAATGAAAATGGGTTGGGAATGGTGATACAGACGCCAACTGCGTCAGAGTGGTTAGGAGGATTATATTGATTCGACTCGTAGCGCTCCGATTTCTTCTGAATTATTTTCCAAACCTCAGTTCGAGTCGTCTAGATTTATCCAACTCAGACCGATTAGATATTTATAATGCTTAAGCAGTCATAAAGAAATGAACCGCCGCCTCCTCCTCCTCTTATCCCGCCGAGCAGCCGCCGCCGACACTGTGCGCCCCTCCCCCCTTATTGGCACGACCGGGCGTCCGCCGCTAGAGACCACAAGTTGAATCAAAGTCCCAAAGGAAAATTTTTAAAAGAAAAAGAGAGAAAGAAAGGGGGGGCCATTCGGTCGAAAAGTACCCAATGATTCCAAATTTTCTAGGATCAGGCCAGATGAATGGCCGTCACCATGCATATTTATTTTTTTTTGCCCTGAGAATAGTCTCAGTCACGTCGCCTGATCATCCCGACCGGCGTCACTTATTCACATTCAATTTGCAAATTCCCCCCCGACACCCTCGAGATGAGAGGGGCACGAGAGGCAGGACCCAATTGTGTTTTTACTCTAAATCGTTCTATTCGCGGGTTTTTTTTTTGAAAATTTCCGGGGTCAAAAATTGGAGGCCTTGAACCGGAATTTAATAAGTGGTCTTTTTCAAAATAGGATATATGTATGGAAAGGAACTATCATTTTCATTTTTTTGGGAAATCGCAAAAAAAAAACAAGATAGAAAAAGAAGGAAAAAAAAAAAGGGGGGAAGAAATCCTCGAAGGCTAGGGGCAAAGTCGGGAAGCGATCGGGGAAATCTCTACGGAACGGCATCCCTCTCCTCCGTTGACTGTTGACTGTAGACTCTCTCTCTCTCTCTCTCTAGAAATATTTTGCGAATTTTTACTTTTTCTTTTTAATATATATTTTTTATATTTTATTTCTAATCTCTTCTTCTTCTTCTTCTTCTTCTTCTTCCTTTCCTCTGTTTTTTCCTGACCCACTCAACGTTTGACTCCCCTCGCCACACCAACCGGGGCAGCACCCCCAGCTCCGGACTCTACCCCCGCCGCCGCCGCCGCCGCCGATTCGCCGTCGTCCGCCCCCGGCCGAATCGAGAAGCTCCCGGCGGCCGGCTCGCGCGGGTCCCGTCGGAGCCTCTTCGGGGCCCCGCGGCGGATCGTCGCCCGACGAACACTCCTCGATCTGGTTCCCTGCCGAGGGTTCGGGTTCGGGTTCGGGGCCTGGTTTGGGATCGACTGAATTCCGACCTCGGTCCTGCGGGCAGGGGAGGCTTGTCGCTTTCCTGCGGGGTTCCATGGGTTCCAAGCCATGGCTGTACCCGGCTCCGACCTATCGGAACTTGGAGACCTACTGGGACACCGACGAGGACGCCCCCGGCTCCCGCGTGGCCCACACCCTCACCGCCGTCGCCGCCACCAAGTCCCACGGCCCCCGCCTGATCCTCTTCGGCGGCGCCACGGCCATCGAGGGGGGCGCCGCCTCCTCCGCCCCGGGCATCAGTGAGTACCGTCGGGTTGCGTCAGTGTGTTTCCCGTGGTCTTTGTTTTGCTCTTGTGGCTCTGCTCGATTTTCTCGATCAGTCCGTATTGGATAGTTCGGTTGTTTCATGCTGGTTGCTATGGTGCTAGGATTAGCCGGAGTCACGAATTCAGTACATTCTTACGATGTTCTCACCAGGAAATGGACAAGGCAACTCCTTTCCCTCATTTCCTTTCCTCTTTCTTGCTGTTTCTAGCAGTAGCAGTGGAGCTTGATTAGTAACTGTTGTTTGTTTTGTTTTTGGTAAGGAGTAACTGTTGTTTGTTTACCTCTGTAAAATTGATGAATTCAGAATGAAACCTGCGGGTGAGCCGCCGTCTCCTAGGGCGGCACACGCGGCGGCTGTGGTAGGCACTATGGTTGTCTTTCAGGTAATTGTGGCGGGTAAATATGTGGCCGTGAATGGCTAGTGGTGTCCTTGTTTGGTTAATTTTACACGTGAATTGTCTCCGTTGGTAGGGTGGCATAGGTCCTGCTGGGCATTCCACGGATGATCTTTTTGTGCTAGACTTGACAAATGACAAGTTCAAGTGGCACAGGTGAACTTCTGCTGCCAAATTATGATAAAGTAATTTCTGCACAGAGACGGATATCTGATAAATATTAGTGTACGGTCTTTATATGTAGGGTGTTGGTGCACGGGCAGGGTCCAGGGCCTCGATATGGTCATGTGATGGACTTGGTTGCTCAGAGATATCTTGTTACTGTCAGCGGCAATGATGGTAAGTTTTTTTCAATTGTTTTTTGGTTTTTCTTGAAGATATGCTACCAGAAGTGATCAACTTGTTATACATACTGGTAACCGCTGTAAAGTTAGGGGAGATGCTTTATGATAATTACTCTTTGCTTATACCTTCTCTTTGATTAGATGAGATGGCTTTAAGACATGCGTTGTGCTGGATCTATATGCTTCTCTAGTTTTCTTTGGAAAGGATTTTCTAACTTTGAAGAAGATGTGTATATATACTGTGAGCAAAATGCAGAAGCTAGTTGTGCTTGGATTTCTTAGAGTCCATTTTTCTGGAGGTAATGGATCATCATAAGCTAGCAATAGTGTTGGGCCTGAACCATTATGGTGTTATTTTCCCTTTTATCCTCTGCAACTTGTTTATTTCGTTGGATGGTCATTAAGATGTTATTTCGATGATGCATCGAAATGTTCTTTTTTTTTTTTTGCTTTTTAGAGTATGGTCACGATGATATTATTCAAGAATTCCACATGGCTCGTCTTTGTAATTTATTTGGACCTTATATACTTGTAATCTCCATCAACATTTAAGCATTAGGAGCGACCTTTCTAACTTAGTATCAGAGCCTAGTTTGGCATTCTTCCCCGAACTAATAGGTCATTTCCCATGTGGTTCTTGTTTATGTTTTCGTGTGCTTCTTATGGTTTCTTTCCTGATTGCACGTGAGAGGAGGTGTAAAGTATTCCGTATTGTTTGTTTAGGGATTTATTTGGGTTTTATATGCATGCAGTCTCCATCACCCTAATGGCTTTGGATTGAACTTTCTAAAAGATATTATTTGGCAAAGTATTCTTCTCAATCGTGGACAAGTGGCGTTTGCTCATTTATTATGACGCATTATATTGCTCCTGCGATACAATGCAATGATTTTTGTTTTCTTCATTTTATTTCTAGAATTTTTGGCTGGTCAAGCCATTATTCTTGCGTTTAGGTCTTTTCTCATTTTCAATGAAGGCATTGTTGGAAGGCTAACAATAACTTTACCGTGCGAAATATTCTTTTCTAGGAAAAAGAGTTCTTTCGGATGCTTGGGTACTGGATACTGCCCAGAAACCTTATGTTTGGCGCAAGCTCAACCCAGAAGGTGATAGACCTTCAGCAAGAATGTAAGTATATGTTATGCAGTTGGGAAAAGTCAGTTGCCTCTAATTTCATATTGTTAATGATGGCGAATAATAGCCGCAAATGATTTCCATTGCATTACCACTTGGTCTATGGTTGTAGGTAAACTCCATTACATTGGAAAAGCAGATGCTATCTATTCATTCTCTCGACATAAGAAAAACCAAATTAGACATAACTCTACCATACTTTTGCAGGTATGCAACAGCTAGTGCACGATCAGATGGCATGTTTTTGCTTTGTGGTGGAAGAGACTCCTCAGGGGCAGTAAGATCTATTTTCACTGAAGAACTTCTTTCAATATTATTACTGGCATGTAATTTGGATGGTTACCTCTTCCACCTGGCTTTGGTTCTTGAGGTTTTTACCTGATCAAAGGAGTGACCTTTTCATCTAGGCAGCCCTTCATAAGGCACTTAACTTAAAAATGCCTCATGCTTCCCCTTTAAAATTTTGGGATATTGTGTTGGCATTTACAAATTGATACATCCAATACACCCTCTTGTGATGGATTGTTGGACCACGTATACTGGGCCTCTTCAGGGGCAGTAAGATCTATTTTCACTCGAGAACTACTTTCAATAGTACTACTAGCATGTGATTTGGATGGTTTGCTGTTCCACTTGGCTTTGGTTCTCGAGCTTTTTCGTTCCTAAGTTTGTTTCCACTTGATTAGTATGTGGATAAACATGTTGAATCATGTGTGAGTTTAGTTTTCATCTGATCGAAGGAATGACCATTGCATTTGGGCAGCTCTTTATAAGGCACTTAGCAATGCCTCATGCTTCCCCTTCAAAATTTTGAGATATTGTGTTAGCATTTACAAATTGATACATATAATGTACCGTCTGTGATGGTTTGTCGGACCACATACATTGGGCCTCTTCAGGGCAGTAGGATTTAGATGGTTTGCTCTTCCGCTTGGCTTTGGTTCTTGAGATTTTCCTTTCTAAGTTAGTTTCCACTTGATTAGAATGTGGATGAAGATGTTGAATCAAGTGTGAGTTTAGTTATTATCTGATCGAAGGAATGACCCTTGCTTATAGGCAGCTCTTTGTAAGGCACTTAGAAATGCCTCATGCTTCCCTTCAAAATTTTAAGATATTGTGTCGGCATTTACAAATTGATACATCCAATATAACCTCTGTGATGGTTTGTTGGACCACATACATTGGGCCTTAATTTACAGTTGTTCCTCCTTCAGGCTTGAGAACATTACAATTTAACTTCCATAATCTCTGGGACTAAATCTAACTTGTGATTTTCTTAACACAAATGCTCTTGATAGCATTATTATTCTGGAGTCGAAATGTTTCATGATGGATCTTTTTGTGTTAATTTCAATAAGGAGGAAAGGACAAAGATGGCAACCTCTATAGTACTACAGTGAGGGTGTAGTAATACTACGGTATCCAGTTGGATGTTAAAGATGGAGAGTTGTCAAGTGTATACCTCTTATTAAGAACTTCACTCACTTGCATGTGGTGGTGTGTGGCCCAGAAAGAAAGAAAGAAAAAAAACAAATAGAAATCAAATTACCAAGATCTCCCATGTCTGATAATATACGTTTTTGGTGTTTTCGTACTATATCTCTTAAACTATTGATCTGCCTGGCATTCACAGCCACTGGCCGATGCTTATGGCCTGCTTATGCATAGGAATGGTCAATGGGAGTGGACTCTTGCTCCTGGGGTATCGCCTTCGCCACGGTACGAACATGCTGCGGTAAGTATATACTTTTTCTCGGTCCCGCTTTGCTTAGTGAACTTGAATAGTGGTCTTGCAGTCTTTGAGAGGACCGGGATTGGATATGCATATTCCAGCTTATTACCCATGAACCAAATTGTTGTGTGGTTGTAGGTCTTTGTTGGTGCTCGGTTGCATGTCACAGGAGGTGCAGTCAAAGGAGGACGTGCGGTGGAGGGTGAAGCAGCTATAGCAGGTAATCTTTAGTCTACGATGTATATGCAAACTACTTTTGGCATATCCCAATCATCTTATTTTCCATATCATTGTTTTACTGTGCAAAGATCTGTTTTACAACCTTAGTTATTTTTTTATAGTTTTGGACACCGCTGCTGGAGTTTGGCTGGATAGAAATGGACTTGTAACTTCGTCTCGCACTAGCAAGGATCACTCTCAGTATGATCCTGCATTGGAGCTTATGCGCCGTTGCCGCCATGCAGCTGCGGCTATTGGTGTTCGCATATATGTCTACGGTGGTCTTAGAGGAGGTAAAGAAGTTAATACGGAAGAATCAAGCAAAGGATCTTATATTATACCTAGTAGTTTCAATGACATAGTAATTGGATCATTAATGGTTTTTTAGTACAATGACATGAACAATAAGGAAGGCGATAATAAATCAGGTCCAAATTTAGCATGATTTGAATTGTAAAATTTGAACTTGTGGTTTGTCCTTTTGAAAATTTGAAGATGTAAATGAAGATCAAGAAGACTTTTTTGGGACTCCAGTTATCTAATGGAATAGACAAATTAAGTGTATGACTTATGGACCTTTCCATGACTTGCTTATGGGAGTTCATCAAAATTATTTACCAACAAGATATGAGCTATACTTTTTCTCTTAAAGAATGACATGGATTATAAATGATTGGCAATAAAGTTAGGCACTATTGATTAAGGGTGTGCAGGAGTACTTGCAGAACTAACTGGCCCTACGGAACCGGCATAGTCGGGAAGGTTCCAGGGTGGGTATTAGAGCTTGTAAGTTAGGTTCTCAAGTTCCAAAAATTCAGGACCGGTGTGTATAGGGTAGGTTCTGTGGTTTGGGTCACACATTCCTCTATCCACCTTCGACCCTCCCCCTTGTGCCCTGTAGATTATTGCTTAATTAAATATGTTTGCTTTTTTATTTATGACCTTCTTATTGTCAGTATGAAATCTTCACATATAAATGGATGAAGGCCCTAACTGGTTAACTATCTGCAATCCAATTTTACCCCTCTTTATGACGAGCTTGGTTTTGTCTACAACTTTTTATCCTAGTGCATGCTTTTGGTAGAGTGGGATATATTTTTATATAAACTCATAGATTTAATAGATGGGTAGAAGCTGATTTATTTCTTTATATTTTCTTATGTTACGATTGTTTTAGAATTACGTTACAATTAGACATGAACATGAAATTTTTTATGTTGAATGGTCAATGGTTATAACTATAATAAAAAAAATATTTAAAAAAAATATGGGGTAGTATAGGGTACCTTGGAACCTCTGGAACCGACACGTTCGGGTTCAGGGTGGTTCCAAGACCCTACGAGGTATGCTCTAGGTTCCAAAAACTTGGAACTGGTACCTTTTGGGTAGTTCTAGAGTAGGGCAAATACTCTACCCACCTTTTGTGTGTGTGTGTGTGTGTGTGTCTCTCTCTCTCTCTATCTGTGTCTGTGTGTCTGGGGGATGGGGCGTTTGGGATAATTTCATAGATGTCGATTCTCGTACAATCTCAAAACTAACACGACATGTGTAGATGAGCCAACTATATAGCAAACAAAATTATTCTAGCGGTGAACCTGAGTTGAGCTGCCTAGAGCTGTGTTAGGCCGGAGTGGATATGTTGGAAGTTGGATCTGTCTTTGTTTCCACATCATCCATGTTTGAATAGGTGTATTTTGACAAATAAGTTTCGTGCATTCGTAAACTAGCACGACTCATTTAAAAGTCATGCGATTTTGTGTGGGCCACAGAGTGGGCAATACTGTCCTTGTGGCGGGCCCAAATAAGTGAAGATGCAGCTACATCATTGTTCCAAGCATGTTAATTTCGTTTTGCGTAACATATAGCTATTGATTCACCGGTGCATGGCACGGGTATTAGGCTAGTTGTATTTGCAAGCTCAGTATCTACTCTCACCAAGTTTGCTATTTACAGCTTTATTAAAGAAAAATTGTTGTTCTATCCAACACTATCATGTTGTGCATTAGAAGGCATGTTATTCCTCAGAATGAATATCAATTTTTTGGGACACTTGGTGGATGGCAATTCCAGATTTTAAAAGAGGTTCATTAAAGAAGAGCTTGTTTATAGTAACCAGACATTTCTTGCTTTGCATCATAATGCTTGAGCTGGAACTGTATCTTGAAACTTTATAGAAACCACAATCTTTAGCAATTCTTCTTGAAGAAAATTCTATCCCGCTCAACCGTCTTTTTGACTTTTTTCATCAGAGACTTCTGTTTATGGCCCTTGGAGGAGACCTATTTGTATTCATTTTAAAAGTCACGTCCAACAACCTGGCACAGAGGTTGTTACTTTTTTGGCTGCATATATAATCTCTGGTGGCTTCACGCACAGCTCAGAGTGAAGTAGATGTTTTTCCAAGATAATTTATTATAGTATGACTACACTTGTACAATATTTAAAGAAACGTTTATTTATTGTCAGATGAAAAGTGATGCTTTATCAGGACTAGTTGGTAATATCTGGTATAACAGGATCTGATTTGGTGTAGCCTCTGAGACATGGATATCAAGTCTCTAACAGATCTTATCATGGAGTTTAAAGCTCTAACAAAAATAAATATAGCTGAACAAAGAACGAATTTCCCTAAGGCTTAAGGTTCCAAAATTTTGTCAAGTAAAAGCTTCACTTACATGTCATTTGATCATGTAGACCAAAATGCCAAAAACTTTAATATTGAGAAGTTTATATACATAAACTGACTTGTTTCAGTTTCAGTTGTATTATCAACACTAATTTTTCCGGTGCAATGACGATCTTAGACAAGAATTAAAAATAAAATGGGAATCACGGTCCACATGGATCTGGAACCCTTTTTTGTGGTTCTTGTCTTGTAATCTTCTCATTTTTAGTTTTCACTGGCTCTAGCATGGTTCATATGTGAGAGTGAGACCCCATACAATAGAATGGGAATGGCCATCCGAATCATTTGTCTAATGTTTTCCTCTCGTTATGGGTTTAGTTGGATGTTATTCTGTTGAACAGAGGAAGATTTTCAAATTTAAATTCCAATTTCCAATAAGCAGACATGTATGAGTTATTACGTGGAAAAACTGGTTAAATTAAGAGGTTTGTAATGTTCCTTCATGCAGCATACTACGCTGATTTATGACATAGTCAGATATTTTGATAAAGTTTCATCTTTGTCCACCTAATTGATAAGTTGTCTGTTTAGTTCAGAAGGCTTTTCCAGCGGTTATATGACATATGTTCTTCCCATTTGGTCATCTATTTGTTTCCCTTAATATAATCTGAATTATTTGGTGCAGATATGCTGCTTGATGATCTTTTGGTCGCCGAAAATTCGCTGTTCCAGTCGGATAGTGATTCTCCAATGTTAACATCGGAGAGGGCCTCACCTATCGGTAGTCCAAAATTTAATGCATCTATACTTGCTCCTGCAACATCTCCAACTTCAGATAGTGCACTAGATATTTCATCTGGCAGCACGGGGTATTATACTGCTTTTCCCCATTTCTCCTGACCTTTCTTTTTCTCAAGTACCAGTCTGGAATTTGTTGTACCAGCAGTAACATACAATTGTTCTTTTCGCCCCCAATCTCATGTCCCCTCTCTGCCTCCCTCCTTTCCTAGCCACTAGGCTGCGTGCCTATGGGCACTCGTTGTGACGTACACATACCCAAACATATTAATTAGCATCTTATGTGCATGTTTCTTACTGATGTGTGTTTAACAGTTCCAGCATGGACAAAAACTCGATGGAAAAACTCAGGGAGGCTTCTGCTGCTGAAGCTGAGGCGGCTAATGCTGTCTGGCAAGCTGTTCAATCGGCATCTTCTGTCCCTGCAGAAGAAACATCAGTATCAGATGAAAACTCTCAAGCAACTGAAACTGCTTCAGATGGTAGTGACACTGAGGGAGATGTTCGTCTTCATCCTAGAGCTGTAAGTCGATGAACTTATGTCATGGTCTCACATCAAAGGGTGTTTTAGTCTCTGTTCTTTGTGCTTACATTGTTGTCTTACAGGTGGTAGTTGCTAAAGAGGCTGTAGGTAACCTTGGTGGAATGGTAAGACAGCTATCACTGGATCAATTTGAAAATGAGAGCAGACGGATGGTTCCGATGAATAATGAGCTGTCATATCCTACAAAAAAGTTCACCAGACAAAAATCTCCTCAAGGCTTGCATAAGAAGGTGAGTGTCACAGAAGTCAATACCATCATCCTCATTAGAACTTTTGCCGGGCTTAATTACCTCTTTTCTCTTTTCAGATTATATCCACTTTGCTTCGGCCTCGAAATTGGAAAGCTCCTGCTAATAGGAGGTTTTTCCTGGATTCTTACGAAGTTGGGGAGCTCTGTTATGCTGCAGAACAGCTTTTCATGCATGAGCCAACAGTTCTTCAGTTAAAAGCTCCAGTTAAAGTATTCGGTGACCTACATGGTCAATTTGGTGATCTCATGCGTTTGTTTGATGAATACGGGTTTCCTTCCACTGCAGGAGATATAACGTATGCTCGATATGGTTTTAATAATTTTTTTTTAAGCTTTATACTTGTTGTAAATGTCCTATGTGTGCTGCTCTTCGCTGAGAAACAACATGACAACAGAAGAGAAAATCCAAGTGTCATACCTTCAAAAGTACCGAAGTGATAACTAAAATAGGCATTGGAGCTGATGGTGGCTGCCTGATAGTCATAATATACTTTATTCAAAGTTTCACAACATTAAGGAGATTGTGTAAAAGTTTTTGTTTAGAAATTCAATCACAAGTTTAAACCGTAAACTATTGTCTTGATTTTGGTTTATTCAAAATGTAGGCTCGGAAAAGTCATATCTGGTATTCCCTACTATCGTGTGGTACAGTTTATGGTGGTGACTTTTCTTCATGTTGCTTAAAGGGCCACGCATTTTCTGAATCTCTGATATTATTAAAATTTAGTGAAGTGATTCTTCTGGGGTGGAAGATTTCCCAGTATTGAATATTTTTTTTTATATTATGTGAAAATGAAATTTAAATGTCTATCTGATAGACTCTTTATGTGTTGACACAGCTATATTGACTATTTGTTTTTGGGAGATTACGTTGATCGGGGACAGCACAGTTTGGAGACTATAACTTTGCTTCTTGCTCTTAAGGCACGTTTCTGCTTTTGAAAGAGTTGATTATTCATACAAATGCAATGCATTGTTTATGTTATTTTACTAACTTGGGCTGTGGTTACCTTTTTGTAGATTGAATACCCAGAAAATGTTCACCTGATACGAGGAAACCACGAGGCAGCTGACATAAATGCGCTTTTCGGTTTTCGTCTTGAATGCATTGAACGAATGGTGAGTGCAAGTGTTCAGTTCTTTGTTCTCTTTTCCATGGCCTGTTATCTGAATTTGCTTATGTATAGGGAGAAAATGATGGAATATGGGCATGGACACGGTTTAATCAACTTTTCAACTGTCTTCCGCTTGCTGCTCTCATAGAGAAAAAGATAATCTGTATGCATGGTGGCATAGGAAGGTCTATACATTCTGTAGAACAAATTGAGAAGCTTGAAAGGCCAATAACAATGGATGCCGGATCCATAATATTGATGGACCTTTTGTGGTATGATAAATGTCTTCATTTTTTTTTCCATTTAAAGTCGTTAAGCGTGCATGTTTTTATTCAAAGTTTCTTGAACAGGTCTGATCCAACAGAAAATGACAGTGTAGAAGGTTTGAGGCCAAATGCTAGAGGGCCAGGCCTTGTCACATTTGGGGTATGCCAAGCTAGTTTTTCTAATTGAGACATGCTTTTCTTTGTACTCTTTGCCTTTCGGTATACGTGCCCTCCCTTATCTCTGTTCTTTTGTGCTACTCAATTGTCCCTAACAAGTTCTAAGCTGAGTAGTGTCACATGTATACCTTGAGGCCTAGCTAGTGGATAATCGATAGACCTTCAGGTAATCAGAATTTTTAGCAATCAATATGCAATAAATCCCTCTAGTGGGAGGACACTAGAAAGGGCTGCCGGATAAGCTGCTTGTGAATAATCACACTTGATCTTAATCCCTTTGAGTGTGAGCTTTAAGGGACTGCTATGTCCAAGCTTGCTCAACAAAGCAAGAATGGTTGTTGGTATCAAAGATGCTGAGCATAGCAAAAAATCTGCTCGACATTTTTAGTTATATTGCATTATTTTCCTTCTCCTTGCCCTTTGTCTCATTATTTCATGTTCGTCCAAGAACCTCCCAGCCTCCAATCCTCCCCAATAGAACCAGTTTGAACCTGCTCCCAATCTCATTATTTGTGCTATTGCCACTTCATTTCTCAAGATATTTTATTTTGGAATAAGCCCGATCGTAGCTGTGTTGAGTATTGACTCTGGTTTACTTCAGCCTGACAGGGTCACAGACTTCTGCAAGAAAAACAAATTACAACTTATCATAAGGGCCCATGAATGTGTTATGGATGGGTTTGAGCGGTTTGCTCAGGGACAGTTGATTACCCTCTTTTCTGCAACTAACTATTGTGGTAAGCAAATGAAGTCCCGAGCTTTTGACTGACCCTACATCGTGCATTTGCAATTCTAATTCTCTCTATGCTTTTAGGAACTGCAAACAATGCTGGAGCAATATTAGTTGTTGGAAGGGGTTTGGTTGTCGTTCCCAAGTTGATACATCCCCTGCCACCTCCCCTTCAATCACCGGAGACATCTCCGGAGCGTGTCATTGAGGACACCTGGATGCAGGCAAGCCCTGTTTGCCATTTCCTGATTTTTTTTCCTTCCTGTCGAAGTCTTAAATCATTTATAAGCCATAAGTTCTTCTAAACTTCTGGTATAATTCAGGAACTCAACATTCAAAGACCACCGACACCTACCAGGGGTCGTCCACAGCCCGACCTTGACCGAAGCTCCCTTGCATATATTTGATTTCGGCCAAATAGTGTGGAGACACTAAATCTTCGTTGCTGGATTAGCGGGCTTAATTTACAGCTTGTCATGGTCAGGCAGACCATTCGCCACCCTAGGGCATGTGGTAGACTTGTCTACTGTGGAATATGACAATTGGGCTTGTTTGTTGCATAGGTGTATACATAGCTTGAGAGTGGTAGCAAATTTTACCAGTTATTGTTGAGTGTTTCTCTCTTTTTTTCCCCACCCTCTTTTTTCCCACCCGCATTGAGATTACCACATGTACATGTATATTAGGTCTTTGTAAGAGATGAGGAAGATAAAGCTCAATACAGGGTTAGCCGTGCCAGTGGTATTTACTATTGTAATGTAAATGCTTCTCTGATTTTGATGATTTAATCTTAAATTCATGTCTTTTTTGAAAATTTTTAGTTTGGACCATTGGAAATTTCAAGTGGCACGGATTTGTCAGATTCTTACAAGTGTGAACAACTCGCACGAAGCTGTTAATGCTTGTTCGTTTGCGTATTATATTACTGTCCTTTAGAGTTCGCCTTACAGGATTAAATCACTTGGTAATTGCTTTCTGTTCGTTCTCCCCTCTTGCTCCTCAATTGTTGGTTATTCTGAAAAACTGAAAGTGAGAAATTTTTTAGAGGGACAGAAAATTGTTAATATTTCTTGATTAGCTTCTTAACAAATCTGAATTTGTTGTTGTTTATTGAGGATCATGTTCTACTCAGGCATTGTTTGGCAAATGGAGGGAAAGAAAATTTGGTGATAAGTTGGAACAAATTTAAAACTTTCGTGAGATGGGAGTTAGGGAAATTACAAATTCGGTGTATTTTCCTTCCCAATTTTCTTGATTAAAACTTTTGTTGGTTATGCTATAGTTGGACGAAGCAATCAATAGGATAGTCGAAGACACTATTACATGGGATCGGGCCGTACTTGAAAAAAATGGCTTTATATTGTAATGCACTTGAAATAGTCGTAAAGGTAGGTTGCACCCATAGGTAGTAATTTGATTACACCCATAGGTAGTAATTTGATTTCATAGGCGAATTTGTTTGTAGCCGTAACTCGATTGCACTTATATATCGTAATCTGCATTGATGGATGGTAATTTGATAACAGTGTTTGTAATATGAAAATGTTAACAGTTGGTAATTAATTAATGGAATGGTAAAATATATCAAATTATTGCAAATGAAAGTACCTATGCTTAGTAATTGTCATCAACAATAATTTAGATAAAATTATGGGAGTAAAGCTCATCATATTCTTTTAGCCAACAGGCAGAACCCATCATTAGAATTGAGAATTTTTGTAACACGAATGACAATCTGGATTCATAATTCAAAGTCTCCCACAAAGATATGACCAAATTACTGCAGCACCATATCCAGCAGAAAGCAAGTACCCGTCAAATCTGTTCTTACGATATCACCCTGTCCCAGTGAAATAAAGCATGCGAGTTCATGCCGATGAAATGGTTGTAATCCTCGGAATGCTTTAACTCAAAAGAGGTCAAGGTTGGATGAGGCTACAATTAACATCTAATTTAATTTATTTATCTTTTTTTTTGGCGAGGGATAGATGGATAATCTCAAGCCAACATTACCTGTAAGTGCATCCATCATCTACTGTGCAACATATTGGCCTCATGAAAAAGAAAAAGAAGGCGTAGGAAAGATGCCTGGACTGAAAGTTGCTACAACGCAGATTTTCAGATCTGTAAACAAAAAAGGATTATCTTTGGTTTTTTATGGCTTCAGCATCAAGAGTAAGATCCTTCAGATGCCAGGTTACACAAGAAGTGAAAAGGCATCTTACACAATTGCAGGAACAAAAATCCCGTCACATATATTGAGTGCTTTGCCTAAAAGCAAGCTTCGGTCAACGAAAGGGCTTTGCACCTTACACGTGCTTGTCTATATATTGCAATCAGTAATAGCAGCAAACAAACCACATTCACCATCAAAGCATCGGAGGGAAAATACGTGAGTAAGGAGATATAACAGCTTCCCGCACATACGTTTTAGAATTGTTTGGATCGGGAACCCACCGTATCTCGCTTATGTTGGGAGTCTCGACATAAGTCATGGTAAATTCACCCACCTTCTCGATGCTCCCTCTCTTCCCTGCTCTCAACAGAAGATGGTTCCTGTTGTAAGAGAAAATCCCGTTGGTCAAACGGATAATATCCCCAGGCTTGAACAGGTCACACTCCTCACCCCAGAACTGGAAATGTACAGCCGCGGTCTCATCGGCTACAAGCGCCAAGCATGTCTTGCTCTGGGCTTCCGTGGCTACCCTACCTTTGTCCAAAAGAATGAATTGCGTGATTATGTTGTTTAGTGCAGCAGGTACTATATCTTTGATGGAGAGCATATCGATGTAACCTAAAATGAGAAGATACCAGATTTCAAAAAGTAATCATCAGTACCACATTAAACAAAGTCATTGAACTATGTGACCAAGAATTTATAAGCAAAAGTACACATGAAGGCAACCCCTAACAATATTCACTTTGGAAATGAACTCGTCCCATAAGCATGAACTAGCTAGTTTTATGCAATATAGATGAGTTTCGGTTCTAGTAGAATACAACAACAAACAATTTCCTCCTTACCCAAAAAAAAACAACAAACAATTTCTTTCTGCATAGGCTTCTTTCAGTCTCAATTCAACCTCATATGATCAGCTGCCTTTGACATATACTATTTCAACTAGAGGGATAGCATCTTTGTTGTCTATCATAGTAAAAACCAAATGGTCACATTCATTTTGCATCTTCATTGACAATCACAGTAGCAAACTCTTTTTGTTAATGTTTGATGGTTCAACATGAATACCATGAACTTGAACAGACATCTTAAAATTTGAAAAAACAATAACAAACGGACTTGTAATGAGTGTTCTAAAAGCCACTCGTCATAATGGAGATGGGCACTGTACTCATTCCTCTGTTAACTAAGCATTATATACTCCACATTGCTTGTATTTTTTTTTTTGAAAAATATCTGCAAATTAGAATTGATGATCAGCACATTTTTGGTCAAACCAAGCATGCAATAATACCTCACTCAATAATGGTGCCTTGGGATGGTCCGGAGGAATTTCTACTTCTATAAGTTCAATGTCCTAGCTTTCAGCTCACTCAGAAAAAAGAAAAATTTTGGGAGAAAGAAAAGATGTTTCTCTACGAGTACCAATATCTCTCGAGCATTTACACATTAGAAATGAGTGGAACACTTATGGAAGGACAACAAATATTCTTGTAACTTCTTGCGAAGTCCTGGGAGAAAAGACTGGGACGCAGATGTTGGAACGCTTGATGGCTTTCGTGATCTTGGTACCAATCCTTTCACTATCAAGTGGGTAACGTGAAATGTGTAATTAAGGAGGTCATTCATCATGAAGATGAAGGTTTATGAAATAGCAGGTACAAGAAGAAATTCGCCAGAATGTTTGTTAGAGCATGTCATTGTCCCTCAGCCGTGGTTGGATCCAACTGCTCAAAACCTTCCTCTTGTCGTGGAGATTTTGCATGTGGATTAGTGGATTAACAGTGAATCCGCACAATTGCTGGAAAAACTAATATAATGAACAAGCTTAGAGCATATGTCCATTCCTAAGCCTGTTCTCTTGTAGTCTGGGACTGATTCAGAAATTATTGTGAGTGGGGCAGAAATTAATTAATGACTGATTTCGAGAAAATCAAATTTTATGTTTTAGTAACTAAATTAATATTCTTATGCCGAAAAAGTTTGATAATTGTGTAAGTTTTGTGCTCATTATATTAGAATTGCGTAACAAGTTTGAAAACTTAATCCTTTGACAAACTTTTAGATAAGCATTGAAAATTGCTACGCTATTTTTTTTATAAGTTCTAATTGCACAAAATTAAATATTCTTTTTCCATACATAATATTTAGACTCAATTATTGCGAGGACATGAGGAAGTGTCACGGACTAGTTAATCTAGTTAACTTGGATTCTGGAGAGAAACTCATAGAGAAAAGCTCTAGATTTCCTTTACTCATGAGATAACAAATGAGGGGATGAGACACCTATTTATAGAAGAAACCCTCGGATTACAACAATAGGTTTCTCTTGATCTAACGGTGGAGATTCATCTCATCATCTACCAACTACTTGCATTAATTACAGTAATACTATGTACATTTCCCATACTGTGGTCAAGAATATTCTAGAGTACTTAAGAAACCCTAGGCCCTTATTAGAAGCTTCAAGACTTGCTCGGTTATCTTGAATGATGTAGCGACTCTCTTGGAGAGGCCCGTTCGTCCGGAGAAGTGGGTGTAGAGGTAATTTCGAAAAGTCCTCAATCAACGTGGGTTCTCCCAAGCCCTTATCTCGGCCAATGTTGGAGAATTCATTTGATTTGAAGTCACAATAAGCCTATTGGGGCCGGTTACGCAACCAGAAATCTGACTTCTCGTCAGCTAAGTGCCCATGCAATATTTTTATGTTTATTCTGATCCTAGAATGAAACCTAACCATTCAACTAAAACTAATCTCTAACCAAAAAAAATAAAAAAAAATAAAACTAATCACAACACATAAAAGCAATATAAAAAAGTCACAACCAATACAGAAAAAATAGTAATAAAAGAGGGAGTAAAAGATAACGTGCGGTACGAGTCGGACAATGAATATCGCATGGTCTCGTTATTAAGCCCCAGGACAGCAACCCTGGGGCTAAAATCAAATCGAATCTAATTTTTTTTTAAGAGACTAATCTACCTAAAACCTAAACTAAACTAGAAAATATTATGAAATTCCTCAAACTATATGATTACTAACTAAATGAAACTAAGCTAAATTTAATACTAAGATCTAACTATCTAATCAAAACCTATTTTTCTAACCATTTTCCAAATATTTCACTTTTTTGAATTTTTTTGAATTTTTTTGAATTTAGATTTTTATTACTTTTATTATCTCAATTTTTTTTTAATCTTTTGTCCTTTGTCGGTCTCTTGCCTTCAGAACATGAGTTCTGCTTCTCTAAATTTCCTTTTAACTTTTTTCATTCGGACTTCCAAAGACACTCATGCATTTTAAACAAACATTTTACAACTTCAGAGAATGAATTCTTCCTCATTTTTTTTACTGAACTTCACCGAGTTGCTTTCATTCTTTATTATTCTTTCCTTTTGCACAAACAACTCCTAAATCCAGAGCACAAGCACTATTCATTGCTCCTGCAAATCTCCATTCGTGCACACATCCCCTGAACAGCCATTATACTCTGCTTTAAACACACAAACAGAATATGCTAAAACTCTAACTATCATAACTCCCTCGGTGATTACACTGCACACACTCTAATTCAGAGAACGACCCGCAAACAAATTGTAAATCCATTCAAGACCTCTTTCAGTTTCTTCCATTACCAGCAAACAAGAAACTCAATTCCATTGACATGTTTCAATGGCTCACTCAGTCATACAATACAACTCATGGCAGATTTTACTTGCTTCGTATATTGACCCATATACGGCAGAGAAGATAACAAAGTAAACCAGAATTGAAGACGAAATCTGTACATAAAATCAGACTAAAACACGGTAAACATGATGTATGGAAGCCTCGGCCATTGGTCTAGGTCACAGAAATCAGAGATGGAATGGATGAGATGAACGTATATATCATGATTTGAGCAAGTAACAAGTATCCAGACATCCTGGTGCAGGAACACTTATCAAATCTGCACACTGCTTCGCTCAGGAATATTAACAAACACATAATAGGCATTTCAGCCAAAAGATCAAATCTGCACACCCACTTCGCTCAGGAATATTAACAAACACATGGCAGACGTTTGGATCAAGAGATCTAAACGCAATGAGGAAGCAGCGATTCGAAACCAGACGATCACATTATCACAATAACAAGCTCAAATCATCAATGGATACTCAATCATGGCCGATTTCAAGCTGGCAGTAGCTGAAACTTATCAAACTCTGCTTTGTTCATAAGCGGCGGAAACCGAGTTCGAAGAATTTACCTTAAAGGGGGAAGGAATCCTGATCACACAATCGGTTGTTCAATTAATAAGAGAAGGTCCTGGGGCTCGTCGGCTGTGAAGAGATCGAAGTTCTTCGAGCCTCTCGGCCAAACAGAGCTTCGTCGGCGGAGGCGCCGAGAGAGTAGAACTGGTGATGGCGGAGCGATCACAGCGACGGCGACCGGTGGATTCGAGGCCACGGTGGGGAATAAGGATGGAGCAGGCCGCGAAATTGAATTCCCGGCGAGAGAATCACGAGCTCTCTACGCACGAACTTTTCCTGCTCTGTTCCGTCACGTCTGAGGCAGCGGCGACCGGCGACCGGAAGTTGTACTAACTGGGAGCGTCCTATATTGTACTTGGAAGTTATTGCTAAAAAACAGGAATTCGGTTTGTAATACTAGAATATTTAAATATCACTTCTTGATTTTATTTACTTTCACTTCATCAGAAAAAAAAGAATTGATTTTCAAAATAATTTTCACCTCCTCCGTTAGACATTCTTTCATTTGGTGTCTCCTTCTTTAGGATCGGAGCAAAAAGAAACCTCGTTCTGGCGACGATGTATCAAAGTAGTTATATGCTCCGCACTTAGCTATCCATCGTTAACCGTAGGCATCATTACTGGTACTTAGATGACACATTTACTTAATATGTTACATCTAGAGAGATTATATTGAGAATCATAAAAATTTGTGAAGATTATTATATACTATTATGTAGATACACAAATGAGTCGATTGATCAAACATATTGTAATTGCCTAACTCATGTTTTAATTGTTGATACTATGGTGATATCCTTGGATAGAGTACCTCATAAAGAGTTTATCGCTAAAACTTGACTTATATTACAATAAAAAACATTTGCGACCGTCCAAATTTTCATGAAATGAGTAGCAATACGATACAATCAACTTTAGAGATGATCTCACTGGATTTTGTTGAGCTTGAGGTAGCAGTGTAATTTGTTGTCTGGGTTTGAGACCCACGATTAAAGATGTAATGTTCAACTAACTAGATCGTCAATTCCATTGTTTACAAATCAATTAATAACGAGCAAACCTTTGCAGGTCCAAATTCTTTAAAGCAATGATGATTTCCTCTTCCCAAGCAGTCTTTTCTCGAAATTCGAGCATCAATTCTTCAACCAAGAGCTTCTTCTATTCTTGTATGATTTCGCTCGTATCGCCACATACATATGCTGAAAATAAAGGGTTCTATAAGGTACAACGGCAGTATAAAATACTCTTGTCCTAGCTAGATACTATAATACTAAATAAGGCAATAAGCTCTTTAATTTGGTGTACGCAAAAAAAAAAGGATAATAATAGCCTAGCAAAAAGACTAATCGATCACTTAACCTCTCAACAACCCCCTATGTTTATCTTGCTTTATTAACTGAAGTGAACGAACAAATTTTCTCGGAAGTATCAAGACAACCGCTATGGACAATCACAAACTAGTTGATGTGCGGAGTAGCATCTTTATGTTGACACATCTTATGGCAAATTCAGCAACATGCTTAGCTCCAAATGCATTGATAGCTAGTGCAATGTCATAGCTATGGAAAAATATTGAGGTTAAACAACCAAATTCAATCGAAGTCGTTCTCATTGGAAAGATAAGACGGCATATTAAACACACCAGTTCATTCCCGACCTAACGAAAGGTCCGAAATCATCGGTTATATTCGTCATGAACAATGCAGCGCAATTTTATTCACTAGCACGCACCTCCAATCAAAAAAATTACTAATCGTAATTCCAAATTGAGCACTGTAAAATTCTATGGATCGTTAATGAACCAAAGAATCTAAAATGAAATATCAGAAATATTGAAACAGGTCTACAGAATGCCAGTAATTATGACTTTGCCCCTGATCAGTTAACGCCACATCTGTAACTACAATGTCTCATTTGCTTGGCATTTCCACTTCAATTAGGTGGAGTATTAGAGACTGAGCCTAGCTTAAACGCAAGAGATTTCATTTCCTAACCACGGAATAATCAAGTAATCGTGTTTTTTAAATTTATTTGCGTACCTCACCACCCAACACTCTTTTAGTGTTGGTTGTTCTGCACCAAATTAACTTTGGAAATCCTCTCCTTTGACTTCATTACGTGTAGCTTCTTGCGGTTGGTGTTTTCTAGACCACGTTAGTAATAAGCTTCGACGGCATTGGTTTCTTCTGATTACCAAACACTTTGATTTGGAAGATGATCAGGAAGGCTTTGCGTTCGGCATGGTCTATGACAGGCGCGGTGGTTGCCATAGAGGTCCAGAGGATGATGGCACCGCAGCAGCAACGGTGGGAAAATTATAGTGGTAGTAGGGTCGATAGCTTTTCAGTAGGAAGGGGAACATCATTTCCAGCAGCAACATCGGAACAGACCAAAATTTATCCTTGAGATTGTCGTAAAATTTCAAGAATTGCATTATGGAAACGTAGCAAATGAGAATGTCTCAAGTGTGCAAATGTTTGTTGTGGCTATCCTCTAGGATTCAACAGACCTTCTAAATAACGTGCACCTCACTGTTTAGATAGAGCAAGAACATTACGAAATGCAAAATCATCAGAGGGCAAAAGCAAAGAATATTTTGTGTGTGAAAGTTTTTGTGTGAAAGTTTGTGGGTGCATTGATTTGGGCATATCAAACAAAAAAAGTGGTCGACATATACAGAAGAGAGACTGAGCAAAGCAAAGGCCAGCACATTAAATAAGCAACGGCCAGTTAGAAAGTCAACAATAGTCACAGTTCACATGCATTTTTTATTTATATTGTAAATATACTTTTTGAAGAACACTTTATGCAGCATGGCTGAGTTAAAAGGAAATAAGTAGAATGATATGTCTTTCTGCGAGATCATTTCTTCGGCGAAAGGAGCGAATGGATGCCAATGACCATGCCATAAAAATGAAAACTTTCCATAGGCAACAAGATGCTTTATATATTAAGACTCCAGCATTAGGTAGAACAGGTAGAGTCCAGAAGGATTTATCTTTGAATTTGTCACAATCTAGCCATAAACCCCAAATAGAAACAGCTTGAAATAGATCAACCGAATACAGTGCATAACATAAGCTGTATTCCATCATATAATCCTCTTGAGACCAAGTATCTTAATAGAAATCTCAGAAGAAAATAGCTCTGTTTTAGTTGGTTAATCCTTAAACCAGACATGGTTTTGGGAATTCGCAACAAAAAGGTCTGAACTTCAAACTGCCTTCAGAGCAGCTGTTCTACAATCTCAATAGGACCTCGGTAGGCATCACTAACAACTCATCTTGTCGAAGACCCTCTTTATTTTATATGAAGGGGCATTGGTGTGGAGATCCAGTACCTGGAGGCTCATGAAATACTCTGCAAGCTTCATCGGTTAAGTTCAGGCTTTTGGCCGGTACAAATTGCTCTGATCCAAAGCAGTTTGCACACAATTGATAGGATTTGAAGGGATGACCTCTAGTTCCTAAGCCAGAAAGCATCCAATGCCCCAACCAATTATGCCTACCCTAGTGTTCCCATTGTCTAAGAAAATTACTAGCTAACTCACTATTCATACCAACTAGCAATATAGATGTTAGTGGTTCATCTTTCAACTGAAGCAAGGGATTGAGGAGAATCTCCAATGGCATAAAAAATTCTCAAGAATGAGCTCCCAATTATTGATAGCATTGGTATCTGACGTGAAAGGAAAACTAACAGCGCATGCATGTTAACTTGTGTGCGCTCCATTTCCTCATAATTGAATAGTACTAGATAATCAATGCATTGCATCAAATGTTGCATGACCAAACTCCTATAATTTACAGCATTGCTCGCTTAAGCTTGAAGCCACTGCCGATTTCTGGCAAATGAATTGTTTGAAAATAGTCTTCTCAGTCGACGTACCTTGGATCAAAGTGGAACACACTTTCCTAGTCTACTCCGTTCTCTACGGCCGTGGCTGTTAAAGCTTTTGTATTTGTATCGTCAAAACTGGGTCGGTTCTGAAAAGGGAAAGAGAAAACAAAACGAGATTTTGTTAACAACTAAAATTCTAAGTGGATTTATTAGGAGTCTATCATAAAACTGAGGCTTATATGCCTTGAATAATGTGTATGATCTATAGATTTCTGCCACTCGCATTGCGTTGTTGATATTCCTTTTCAGGTCAGCGTGCAAGCTTTGGAAACTATTCTGTTCCTACGAGAAATAATAAAAAATGTTAACAAACTCCTTCATATCGAAAGACTTGTGATGCGAACATCAGATCTTTCACTGTGACTATGCCTTTTTGCACTTTTGGCTTTTCAAGTTGCGACTCTTATCAAAGTAAAGAGTGCGTTTTGCAGACAAACATCTTATTTCAAAAGTGATACTGCGACAGTATACTGTGACATGGGGAGAGAAACTCTTCCAGATTTATGTAGATAAAAGCGCAACCTTCACATGTATGTGACGGTTTTTTTTGTGTTAAACATTAAGTGGAAGCAATGTTTTAAATATCACAAAAGAGAAGATAAAAGTAGACCTGATAGTGCACCCCGCGGCCCACGGGTCTGCCAGGCCACAATGGCTCGAAGGGCACTTTTTGGCCGGCTTAGGTAATGATATTTAGTCCTAAAGCCTAGCCCGATCCAAATATAATCTACATAATTTTTCTATTATGGACAAGCCTATTCAAGAAATTAGGGTTGACCTTATGCTCGGCTTGGCCCGAGCGCCCATTATCGCAGTTTAAACTTTAAAGACTATTTATCACTAGTCTTTAAACAAATTGATAGGCAAAACGGGGTTGAAGCTACTATTTATTTAATTTTATAAAGCGCTTGACTGTCTATTAGAAGTTTAGGTGTCAACAGCCCTAATTAATAAAAGTTACAACATAGAATCAAAAGTTTAAAGACTAGTGATAAAGCCGAAATGTCTGTGTCAAAGCCGAAGCCACCAAACAATGGAGAATTATGCATTCTCTAGACCCTACAGCTCCTACGGCTTATAAGAATCGATCATCGACTCCTATACTTCCGGACATGCTGAGCTTCGCATATTCTTGTAAAGTTAAAGCGCGCATTTCGAGCCATTTAATAGACATGCATGTCTCCGAAATCCAATAAGTGAAAGCAATAGTTTAATTCAACGCATTGGCAACTTTAAGATAGGCAAAAGCGTCTTTAATCAGTCTCTGTTCTGCCAAATAGGTGTTCTTTTCACTTTCTTAGTAACTTACTATTTTGGATGAAGGCGCTACGAGTAGCCAAGTCGGCGGGAATTTCTGCCAAAGCTTGCATGCTGATAAGGACAAAAAGGTCAACACGGCTATGCGATTGGCA